CAAAGGGCCAGGGCATTCATATACAAAAGCCTCTGCTGCAGCCTGGGTGGGGCAGGGTCTCAGCCCTGCCCTAAGGGGCCTCGCGTCTCAGTGCCCCAATAATTGCTGCAAGCACCTCTGAGGGAAAGCTGCCCTCAAGTTCAGAGTTCTGCCTGCTGCCAGACAGTCCAGTTTCTGCTTGGATAATGTGATATTATTGCTTCTTTCTCTGTGTAACACTCATTCAGGGAAGAGCAGACTGCTGCCTTGGATTGCATTTGGATTCTGAAAATTATTGCCTTATTAAACTGTTACAGGAAATAAAAACTTTTATGTGATTATATATATTTTTGCTCAACAGATCAGTGCTATGGTACTTAATCCCATGGACAGCACATTTCATCAAGATTCTCAGAATTTACTTCAATAGTTTAAATGTTTCCCAAAATAACTCTTTTCTCTTATTGCCTAGATGATGGTGGATCAAAAATCAATCTGACTCAACAGGTCGACATGGCGGCACAAGTTGCCTCTGGAATGGCCTATCTGGAGTCCCAGAACTACATCCATAGAGACCTGGCTGCCAGAAATGTCCTTGTGGGTGAACATAATATCTACAAAGTGGCAGATTTTGGACTTGCAAGAGTTTTTAAGGTGAATTTGCTTTTGTTTTAGTTAGTTTTTTTGTAATGGGTCAGAATCCTAACAGACCAGTAGACTAATAGGTTTACTGTTATTCTTTTTTTTTTTAAATACTCACCTGAGGAGTGAGGATATTTTTTCCATTGATTTGTAGAGAGAGTGGAAGGGAGATGGTGGCGGGGGGGTGGGAGAGAGAGAGAGAGAGAGGAGCATTGATTGCTTGGTTCCCACTCATGTTGAACCTGGGTCAGGGATTGAACCTGCAATCGAGGACTGGAAACCGACCTTTCAACCCTTCGGTCTGTGGGCTGATGCTCTAACCACCAGCCAGGGATGTTATTCTTTAAGACAATGTTTCTCTAAGTTTCTCTGTGGTCCATAGAACACTTTAATAGCCTAGGGCAGTGATGGCGAACCTATGACACGCGTGTCAGAGGTGACAGGCAAACTCATTTTTTGGGTTGATTTTTCTTTGTTAAATGGCATTTAGATATATAAAATAAACATAAAAATATAAATCTTTGTTTTACTATGGTTTCAAATATCAAAAAATTATATATGTGACACGGCACTAGAGTTAAGATAGGGTTTTTCAAAATGCTGACACACCGAGCTCAAAAGGTTCACCATCACTGTCCTAGGGCCTTACAGACAAACTACCTCCTGTTTATAATTCTTCACCAAGGAGAAAGAAATAGAGGAAATAATGATTAACCAGATGGGAGAGTATATAATTAAGTTTGTAGTTGAATTAATGATCTATTTTTCAGTACCGGTAGCCTTTGTTTGTCTGCCTCTATTTCTCTTATTAAGAGCATCACACTTGGTACAGTTACCTGACCTACTTTTGCTCACTTTATGCCAGAGTAATATTCACTCTTCCAGCAATCATGGGCTTTTTCAGTCTGCAGGCCGACGCTCTATCCACTGAGCCAAACTGGTCAGGGCTTCATGGGCTTTTTAATTCCTGGTCCAAAAGACATTGATATAGACTATATACTATTCGGTTTGTTTTTTCTTCTCCTCCTCCTCTTCCTCCTCCTCCTCCTCCTCCTCCTCCTTCTTCTTTATAATGTTTTTTTTTTTATTGATTTCAGAGAGGAAGGGAAAGGGAGAGAGAGAAACAGCAATGATGAATCATTGATTGGCTGCCTCCTGCATGCCCCACACTGGGAATCGAGCCCGCAATCTGGGCATATGCCCCAACCAGGAATTGAACCGTGACCTACTGGTTCATAGGTCGATGCTCAACCATTGAATTATGCCAGCCAGGCTAGGTAATTTTCTCTAAATTTGATTTTTTATTTCTACATTGTACCCTAAAATTATGGGTGTAGGGCATGAAACATAATAAATAAATGATTCTCTTTTGATCTTCATGAATTCATCATTTCTTTTTGTAAGTTAATTAATATATTAATTTAATTTATTTGGATCCCACTTTTCAGTGTTAGAATGTGGTTATATGGTAATTATCAAAGTCAATTGCCCTTTAACGCCAGCAGTAAATAATAAACAGACAGCCTTTGCTTTAATTTTTTAAAAAGAATTTGCTAAAGACAAGATGTAAAGCCAGTATTATCACACACAAATTCTCCCATATGCAGTAGAATGCTTTCAGTGCTATTTTTAGCACACAGTAGGCTTTCAAGTATTATTTTATTAATAACTTCTCACAGATTTTTTTTAGGCTTGTATCTCAGCTTTGGAATTTGCTACTATGCTCATTTTGAATCTTTTCCCTCTAAATTTTAATGCGAAGCAGGTTATAGATGAATGAGGGTGGCAAAAATATACATCACTTTAACTTAGCTTGATTTCTTAATGCATTAACAGGTAGGTAATGAAGACATTTATGAAGCTAGACATGAAATAAAGCTGCCAGTGAAGTGGACTGCACCTGAAGCCATTCGTGCTAATAAGTTCAGCATTAAGTCCGATGTGTGGTCATTTGGAATCCTTCTTTTTGAAATCATTACTTATGGCGAAACACCTTATAGTGGTGAGTAATTAATTCTGAAGTAGGCCTTTCTGCTGCAGATCCCTTACTTAGTTGTGACTTTAACAGCTTCACCCAGACTTAGAGGGCAGAGTGGTGAGGATGACCAAATCACCTGTCTTTGGGAGCATAAGCGGTAAAATCTGATGATGATGATTTGCATTAATGATGTGGTTTATTGCCTCCTCCTCCTCTGCTCTTGAATTGCAGTCTTATAGACATTACTTGCCACAGGAATTAGTTTAACCTCTGCAACCTGGGAAGAGGATGGTAGACCTCATATCTTCACCGCCAAGGAAATCAATTTGCTTTGTAATCTAGAGAGTATAAGTGTCCATTAACTTAATAATCTTATCTTTAACTTGTTTTTGATTTCATTCAACATTTTAGGAATGAAAAATGCTCAGGTAATCCAGAAGTTGCTTCTTAACTATAGACTCCCTCAACCACCTAACTGTCCACTGCCATTATACAACATCATGTTGGAGTGCTGGAATGCAGAGCCTAAGAAACGGCCAACATTTGAGGAACTGTATTTGAAACTTGAAGACTATATTGAAGCAGACTCCCCATATTCAGATACAAGTAGCTTTGTAGGATGAACAGTAAAGAAGAGAATCAAATAATGAAGTAGAAATGAAGTTCAATAATCAGCCCAGAAATACAACCTTATTAACCAGCTGCAAAATGAGTTTATCTTGACATACTCAAGTGAAAGATCAATTCGGCCATGTATTATAAAAAAAAAATTACTCGCACATTTTATTGACTGGACAACACTACAGGACAGTCTAAGATTGCCTATCATTTTCTCACTGCCTGAAAAAATCAAACACACTAAACGAAGTTATTTTTCTTTTTAAAAGATACTTACATTTCTATTTATTGTTTGAAATGCCGATCAACAGGATCAACAAATGATAGTCAATTTTTACTCAGTGACTGTTGTAGCATTTTCCTGTTTACTGATTAAAGTGGTTATTCATTATTCGTCAGATTGCTGAATCCCATCAGACTGTTATTATGAAGGAATTTGATTGCTTTGCTGCACAGCAGGACCCGTGCTTTGAGATTTTTTCCCTCTTTTTACATATCCTGCAACTACAATGATGGTAAAGCCATGTTAAATGACTTGATTGTACTTGGAGTAATTGCCCATATTTTCTCCTGTGCATAAAAAATGAAGCAGCTGTTGAGAAAAAGAATTAAAATTTCTCTCATTTTGTAGAAGGAAATGATGGAATTTTCTATACCTCAGTATGTGTCATCTGAGAATCATCTACATTAGTTTTAATCTCTTAATGTTAAGAATCAGATTGCAAAGCTGATGAGTTATTATCTGTGGAAATATGCAAGAAACATCTATTAGCCTGAATATCTGAGAAGTAAGTATCAAAATAGTTTAGAAAAACAAGAGGAGAGCCGTAGGATTGCCATGGCCTACAATTTCTGAAGAATTAAAAACAAACAAACAACAACTTACCTTTGACCTATAGATCAGAGTTTAAAATTGGCTATGAAACAGGTCAAGCTCTGAATAATGTCTGACCTTGGTTATGAAACTATATTTTTTTGTCTGGTAAGACAAGAGGGTTTTTAATCATCTTAAATGTGCATTAACTTTGGTAAGAATATTACTATCTTCTTAAGCAATGGGTGTATTAAATTTTGTTCTCCATTAGGTGGTTTGGGAGAGTTCTAAAAGGTAGTTGCAAAATCAAATGCATATTCAAAGATTTTCTGATGTAAAGATTAATATGAACAAAACAAGCCAGGAGAAAACAGAAGTGTATTCTGTCACTCTTTTAAAGGGGAAGGAGAACACAGCAAACAGTTACAGAAACCCCAATTCAAAGTGGATTAAACAATCACTAAACTTGTAAATTTTCTAACTGGAACACAGGAGGTAGGGACGACTCTAGGCAGAATGCCATTAGCTGCAGTTCAATGATCTTAACTAAAACCCAAGTCCTTTCCCACGTTTCCCTCTGCCACCAGCATTGTCCGGATCCTCACAGCCACAGGTTGCTGCCAGTAGCAGTTGAAGCTCCCTGTTCTCTTCTCATTTGGTAAGAGAGAATGGGAAACTGCTCTCTGCATTTCCATCTTACCTAAGAAGCATTCCTTTTCCGTCCAGACAAATTGGGGTCATATGCCCGGCCCTGAACCAATAATAGGCTTAATGTGAATGTTAAGTGCCAGTTGGTTGGAAATGTGGTCATCTTTTCTGGAGACAAGTTGGGAGGTTAGCTTATCTGAATAAAATTAGAAAATATTAGATGCTGGATATTATTAATTAAAGAGAAAATTCCCTGAGAACTTTATATAGCTGAACTTTATATA